GCGGGGGGGGGGGAAGGTTGGCTCCTCAGTGAGAAGCTGTCTATCCCCAAACTTCAGCTCTGTTAAGAAAAAAAAAAAAATCTATGCGTATAAAAGCACAGCTAGATTCTTCCTCCCCTCCCGTAATATGGAATTGCTAAAGGAATTCTGTTTAAGTGTTCTACGCTCCTTTTCTTAAATCTTCAGAGATCAATTAGGAAAAAAAAAATATAAAATTTAATTTGTTCTTGAAAATTGTGAACATCTGGAACTGACGTTACAATGGAAACTAACCAAAAGATGCTGCCAGCATTTATACTTAAAGATACACTATTTTAAAATAACACTGGATATTTCATCAGCTCTTGCTACAAGAAACATGCAAGACCTCACTGCTTAGAAAAGGACAGATCTTTCTTCTGATTTGTTTACTGTGAGCATTTGACACCATTTTGCACAGAATCATTTTCACTGTTTTCCCTCATCTTTCATGAGGAGGTAAGAGAGAACAGAAGAAGAAAAAATCTTTAAAATACAAGTGTGTTACTATGAAGTAAAAAAATCATCTGGCTGAAATACAACACCTGAAATTTTAACACAATATACATTAAGCTACACCTCTCGAGAAGCTCACAGATGGCAGACATTCATATACTGAACTGCAGTGACTTTATGCCCATCTTAGAGTTCTTTAAGTTATTACTTAGTTTATCAGGCATAAATCCAAAGTAAATTGCTATCCAGTTTCCATTACTACTAATCAAAAAAGAGTAGGATATTATTCAAGCAACTGGTACAGCGCCTAGCGAAGACACCCAGGAATACACCTGGAAATATTTCTTGGGTACCTGAGAAACAGTGACCGATTAACAAGCAGAGAAGGCGAGCTGCTGGAGGCGCAGGGACCACAGGAGGGCCCGGCGGATTCGGCTGTGCCCTGCTCCCCGCAGCTTGCCCTCCTGCACCCCTGGGCAACTCGAGTGTCAAAGTTTCTGAGCTGATGCCCTGATGGCCGAGGGCACCCGAGCCAAGTCTCAGCGTCCCCGCCAGCAAAGCGA